GACACACTGAGCTACACCATCTGGGTGATGAGTATCCTGCTCCTTGAACTCATCCCCACCTCCTGCCAGCTCTTTTGTTCGGGTGCTCTCCCTATGCCCATTGGAAGACGCTGTGGAGACCTCTCACTCCTTGACCCTCCACTGCCTCAGTATTTTTCTGACCTGTGCTGGTTTCCTTTCTTTCTTTAGCCATCATCACTGTGGTCCAACCCACTTGATGAGTGAATTTCCTTGCTGTAATGTGTTCCCATATGGCCCACAAAACCTGGTCATAGATTAAGCATCTGTTTTCTCACTTTCTATATCTTGAGGCTCCACATAAAAGGTGATGGTGGCCTTAATCAAGCTAGTAAGACACAGCATGTGCTCAAGGTAAAGGCTGCCCATCTCAGCAAGGCGTGTGGTGCTCCCAGCTACTGCTTCTGCTCATTTCTTGCAGCTACCTTTCATCTAGGACCTCCATCTCCGCGCACTGTGTCCGCTCCTCTGAATCAGTTGTGATCTTCGGATGCGCTTAGTTCTTTTCCTTCGTTGTGGACTGAATGTTTCCATTCCTCCAAAATCCATGTTTTGAAGCCCAACCTAACTGTTTTTGAAGATAAGGCCTTTTCAGAAGTAACTCCTGTGAACGAGGCCCCGAGGACAGAACCCTGATCTGGTAGGATTAGTGTCCTTATTAGAAGAGACACCAGAGGGCTTGCTTGCTTTCCCTCCCCGTGTTCAGGCACAGCAGAAAGGCCGGGAGAGGACGTAACAAGAAGGCAACGCTCTGCAGGCCAGGGTGAGGGCTGTTTCCCGGAGCCTCACCATGCTGATCCCTGACCTCGGACTTCCGGTCTCCAGAGCTGCGAGCAAGTCAACGTCTGTTATTTAAGCCGCCCAATCTATGGCGTTTTAATGGTGGACTAAGACATCCCCTTCCTGATGCCAAGAGAAAAGTACCTATAAAATTATAGTCATCTTTATGCAACTGTATTGCCTAGCAGGGACACGCCAATAATAACAGCGTCTTCATGTGAGAACAGCTCAGTCATGTCGAGTTTAAGCCGGCAGCCTCTGTTCTAATATCGCCCTCTCAGGGCCTGGGTCTTGTCTGTGTTTTATCCCTCGTGTAGAGAAGCCCAATCTATGCTCTTCTGGTGGCAGAATTTTAGAGATGAGCAGCTACAAGTATGTGCCGACTTGACTTTTCTCCTTCATCTAAGTGGTCCCCTGCAGATCACGAAAGACCTCAGGTTACCTGGCGTGGATTTCATAGCATTAAAAAAAAATTTCCTTTATGTTTTTATTTTCATTGTTATTATTCCTGAGGCATCTATGGGTCTCCCCATTAAAAAATCACAAGAAAAGGAACCGGTGAAGAAAGTCCTAACGTTGCAACTTTTTAAAAGAGAATGAATTTTGAAACTTTGTCAAAACAAGTGAGTTGTCTAAACCATAGTCAGTGGTGAGCTCTTCACCTCTCTGCCTGAGAAGCTCTACTCACCTGTGGAAGGTGGCGTTGAGATGTCAGGGGCAGGTTAGAAGTTCGTGATGGGAGGAGGTTAGGGTTAGGGTCAGGGCTTACACGGAGGGTTAGGGTTAGGCTATCCAGCCTCACTCCGGTGAACACTCCTCTTGACTTTCCTCCCACTTAACTAGAGAAACTGATGAAGCTGCTTTTGAACAAGAGTATAAAAAAGGTGACAATGAAAGTAAAGTATCTGTAAAAGAAGAGGAAATTCAGAAAAATATCCGGGGAACTGAACGATGAAGCGAGAGACAGAACAGAAGAGACTGGACACAGCAGCCGTCGGCCCGGCAGGCCACGCGCGAGCCAGAGCCCAGGCAGCCCCGTGCTGGTCCGGGCAGAGGTCACAGCCTCCTGGGCTGTGGAGCGAGCTCAGCCCCTGGAAGCAGAGCCAGCACCACAGCCACATGCCAGCTCTGCAGGAAGTCGGGGCAGCAAGAAGCAAAGCACAAGGAGCATAAACAGCAGAGGGAGCGTGCAGGCCCTGAGGCAGACTTGGAAAAAGGCCACAAACAAAGAACCAGGAAAATGTCAGAAGGCAAAGCTAAAGGAGGAGGCATTTGAGATTGCAACCTCTTCTCTATATTGAGGTGATACGTTTTATAAATAAACTTGTATCGAAAGCAACTACACAAAGGGCACAAATCCCAAGTCTATAATTTGGTAAATTAGCGCAAAGGGAACAAACCCGTGGAGCTACACTGCAGGCCGTTGTTGGCTCTAGAAGCCCTCCTGTCTTCATTAGTGCCCTCCAAAGCGAACGCGAAGACAAAACTTGTCATAAGATGAAGAGACACTTACAGGAGAGAGAAGGTAGAAAAGGGAAGTCAGGTCACAAGGCTGGAACAAGGCAAATCGAGAGGTTTCTGGTGCTAGCTCATGGTTGTGAAAATATATAATATTTAATTTTAAGATATTTGCTTTTCTGTAGTGCAATCTCCTTTTGTTGCTTGAAACATTTGGTAAAGTCTTTGAAACACAGAAAGTCAGGTATCTGTGGGCAATTTTAAGGAAAAGGAAGCTGAGTGCCTCGTTAGGGCCAGCATGGAATAAAACCAAAACCAGAACCAAACTAACTAGAGAAGGCAAGAGGCCCCTGAGAGAGAGCAAGAGCTCAGTGGAGCGAGGAAATAAGAACCACGAATGATGAGTATGACTATTTGTTCAGAAAATGTGAAGAGTCTTGGGGAAAACATCAACATGGAATAGGGAACTCAAATCAAATTTATATAAATCTCAAAGAATAGTATCCTTCGGTGATGCCTGAGTAACCTTTATAGACTTACTGAAGATTCAGATGTTATTCTCTACTCCCTTACTTAATAAAAGATCTGAGGCCATGGGGAAATGTAATTGGAGGAAACGTTACTACCTTAAATAAGAAGATGGCTCAATCTTGGGCCCTTGGCAAAGCTTACCTCTGCAAGAATTCTTCACTTGAAATGCTCCTGATCTGACCCCTTGAGTTTTTCCAAGAGGAAATTAACAAATTTATAAAAGCCAGACTCTCGGGTGTCTGACCCGCAGCCCCCGTGGGCTGCATGCGGCCCAGGATGGCTATGAATGCAGCCCAACACAAAATTGTAAATTTACCTAAAACCTTCCTTTTTGCTCATCAGTTTTCATTAGTGTTTGTGTCTTTACTGTGTGGCCCAAGACAACTTTTCTTCTTCCAGTGTGGCCCAGAGATGCCAAAGGTTGGACACCCCTGCCAGAACATTCATGGGACAGTAAGCCCAAGTTCATACAGTAGACCATAGGTTTGAATAGAACACACAACTATTCTCTTTGACAACAGATGGTGAAATTTCAATTATTCACTTATTAATTTTGACAACGCTTAAATTCCATGCTGATATCTTTGCCACTCCTAAGTTGTTACCCTTTAAAATAACACATAACTCTGAAGAATGTCAGGTCAACATGGTAATCGAAGAAATAAAATGAAAGTAAGTTATTACATTTTCATCCAGGGATTTTGCAGCTCAGTGTTTGCTGGATATTGCTAATTACCCTTTTCTCTCTTTCTCTTTTAAATATTTTATTTATTTATTTTGAGAGAGAGAGGGAGAGGAAGGGAGGAAGAAAGAGAGGGAGAGACATGTTGATGTGAGAGAGAAACATTGGTCAGTTGCCTCTTGTATGCACGCCGACTGGGGACCGAACATGCAACTCAGGCATGTGCCCTGACTGGGAATCGAACCCAGGACCTTTCTCTTTGTGGGATGATGCCCAACCAACTGAGCCACACTGGTCAGAGCATTACCCTTTACTCTTAAAACCCTAGGAGAGAAAAGGGGCTCCTCTGTGGAGGAAAGATTGACGGAGTTTCTCCCATCAGGAGTCCTGCCTCTGACTCAGGCTCCTTGCTGTCATGCTTGTAAACAGTGCCCTTGCTTTCCACCCTGGTCGCTGCAGCCCAGCACAGGCAGAAGGGGTGCTACTCTCTGTTAGAGAGGGGAGATGTTCAGATTACCAACAATGCATGGCGATGGTGCTCTCGCACGTGACAGTGTTGCATTTTTCATATAATGTGGCTCGAGACTACATTCTCTGAAAGTTACCACTGCCATGACAGTTACAACGCACCGAACAGCCCTTTCTGACCCTCATTTACCATTGCTTCTGGTTAGCACTTAACACTTACCTAATTTTATTATTATTATTTTTTGCATTTGCCTTACAGCCTGATTCGAATTAAACTCACATGACCGCCACCTTGTTCCGAGAGCTCAGGACACAAGCCTGTCTTGGGCTGGACCCCCTGGAAGTCCCACCTGCCCATTCCCTTCTCTGGCCTGTGGAACTGGACTCTCTCCTTGGTTACGGTTTCCTACCCAGCTGAACTCCACCTATCTCTGTGGGTGTGTTTTTTTCACACATCATTTTTTTTAACCCGAGAATGTTACACCATTGCCCCTCCAGGTGTGATGCATTCACACTCAGCTCTGCTGGAAATTCCCCAAAGCCACACTTAAGCATCCGATCCTGATATTATCTTATGTCCTTATACCATGCCCAGCAGTGGTGCTGAGTGCCACTTACATTTCAAAAGCAATGCCCATGGACGTAAATCTGCAAAGTACTTGAGACTTCACATTTATTATCAAGTAGAGATAATTCTGGTCTATTTTTGAGGATCTCTTCTTTAAGTTTACAATATGGTATGATATGATAATATTACCTTAGTGTACTATGGAGGCTGCTGTGTATAGGGAGAGTGGAACCTTCTAGAGCCCTCTGCTAGCACTGACAATGGTATTTTCAACTCTGTTCTATAGTGAATTATTTTTATAATTTTATAATGTGTTAAATTTGCTGGAAGAAACCTTCAAATTTGGGTTTTATATCCCTATAGGAATTACTCCCAAATTTGCCCGTGCCTTTTGGACAGATAGTCTACAATTTCTATCGGTGAACTATTTGAAAATGAGAAGCTTTAGGAATTGTGCACCCAGCTTATTCCTCTCCCACCCGCACAGTTCCTTACCTGTGATGGCCAGTTGAGTCACAAAGAAGGTCATTCTTGACTTCCTCTTCCTCCTCCACGTGGAGAACAGCACAATGGAGTTTCCAACAATGATGAACACAAAGAGGATCCACAGAGTTATCAACTGCTCAGTCTGTGGAAAACAAGCAAATGAACCAGAGCCCTGTGAGGAATTAGCAGAATGCAAGGCTCAGGCTTCGGCGCTAGAATGTCTTTCTTCAGGTCTCATGTTCCCCTGTTAAAACTCTACCCTCGGGAGACCAAGAACCCGTGGTCCTTATGTACACTGATAACAGTGGAAATTGATGCAATCTTTCACAAAAACCTATTTGGAAATATGTGTCAAGATACCAAAAAATATATATATTCTTTGGCCAAGCAATTTTACATCTACTTGAAAGATTTCAAGGCATGACAAAGAACACTACAATTGCAAGGATGGGCATATTTTTTGTTAGAAGAATTGGAAACTGTTTAAAGATAACAGGATAGTTATGTAAATCAAGCACTTCGATTCAGTGAAAAATTATGTAGCTATTAACCATGGCAGCCATGAAGATTATGTAGCAACATTAAAAATGCTCATAATGATAAGTGGAAAAACATGATAAAATTATACATAGGGTATGATTACAACTGCAAAATTGTACATGTAGGAGAAAGACTGAAGTATGCTAAAATGTTAGTCATGGTTATTTTAGGGTAGTATAATTATGGCTTATCTTACTCTTTTCCTTTGACAGAATTTTATAATATGGCAATATTAAAGTTCTACTGAATAATGTGTAATTAAAAAACGGGGTGGAGGGGCAAGAATCCTACTCATTTAAAATGCCAAGTCCTTCATAAGCAGTTTTCCGCGATCCCTTCAAATGGAGCTCTTCCCCTGTGTACAGCCCATAGCTCAGAATAAGCAGAGGCTCTGGCCATCGGGGGTGGGCTGGACGCAGGGCTGGGCTGTGGATGAGGATGCAGAGGCAAGTTCAAAACCAAAAGCCCAGAGACAGAAGCCCAGCCGGCCTGAGCAGAGTCCCAGCAGGAACGCACTGCGTGTAAGACAGGTCTGAGTGCTAACCCTGTCCGCAGGAGGTAAGAAGGTGAGCCCCTTGTCATGGTAAAAGGCCGCGTGTCCGCTTGGCCAGGCCGTGGTACCCAGCTGTGCAGTCAAGCACCAGCAGAAGTTGCTGTGATGGTGTCGAGCCACGGAGGTGTTGAGCCGTGAAGCACCTTGACAATCACCTGCCTTTGAATAAAGCCGATTACCCTCCATTGCATGGGTCGGCTTCATCCAAAGGGCTGAAAGTCTAGGGAGCAACAGCTGAGGTATCCCGGACACGAAGGAGTTTTTCTTCAGGAGTTCCTTGAGAAACACAGAAGTCATGCCTGGGATTCCAGCCTGCGGCTCTAAACAGCCTTGCCTGCCCCACAATCCTGCGAGCAAATACCTTAGAACAAGCCTCTCTCGCCCTCTCTGGGGAACCCTGATGATACACTCCCTGAGCAAGCGAGCCATCGCGGCAGTGCGTTTTCTTATATTGAATTAATTTTAACTTAAGCAATAGCACACGAATAAATTTTTCTTTAAAAACCACGACAATTCAGCTAAAGCTCAAATCCCCTTTGGCCATCACTTTCCATCTTGATCCATTCCCCTCTCCCAGAAGAGAAATATCATTTTAATTCAACTACGTTTTCTCCCAATCCTTTGAAAAGCACTTTATAAGCACACACGGTGCACACGTATTTGTGTGTGTGTGGATATCGTTTTGGTATTTACTCTACACATTGTGCAACTTGCTTTTTTCAGTCAGGCAGAAGGATGGCTAAATGAAGGGTGATGCTTATGATGCTTTCATGCAAGGAAGTAAAAGATTTCAAGGAAAAGAAATGGATTAAAGTTACAGAAACAAAATACTATGTGGAAGACGTAGGGAAGCAGGTGGGCTGGGGTTGGTGAGGGGGAAGGGAGACAATGTGCGTGCTGGGCCAGCTCAGATTCTCCTCGCCAGCACTCTCGAATTCTCCCCGAGGGGAACACGACGCGGGGCCTTGGATGGCAAGGTGGAAACCCAGGCCTGCTGTGCCGCATTCCGGAGCTGGGGGCCGGCGCTCGAGGTGCTCCCCAGCCCTCCTGTCTCCCAGGATTCAGGCCTGGAGCTGGCAGCTGGTTTCCCTGCATGTATGTGTTCCCCAGCTCAGATTTGCAGATGGGTTCCTGAGGTCGCGTGCAATCAAGGCCCGGGAGCTGCAGGATGGTAGAGTCGGGCGGGGGGGGGGTGGCACTGTGGAGCTGCTGGGGGAGGAGAGCGCACACCTGGAGCGGGAGCACCGCAGGTGACGACCTCTACTCCTCAGAAGGGCACAGGGGGCAGGCGCCTGCTGCCCAGCCTGCGTGTGTCATCTCCCGCTGGGGGGGCAGAGCCTGTGCTCAGGGCCAGGCCACGTACTTTGTCTCGGGCCCTTTTCTGACCGGGGGATGCCAATCTGTGGCTGGTTGGTTTCTCTGGCTGTCTAGATCTGGGTGGCTCCGAGAAAGCCGCAGGAGGGGAGCTAAGTCTGAGGGAAAGGGCTGCTCTCACTGGAGCGAGGGGTGGAGTTTGGGGAGAGGACTGTCTCCTTTGAGACAAGGCGTCATTGTGGGACAGGGGTGCTGCCAGCAGCAGGTACTGCAGGGGACACGTTTGATGCACCAGACTGAGCGTCCCCACTCCGTCGCTGGTGGCAGGATATGAATACATCAGTGTTTTGAACTTGGACGAGCTACCTTTTAAAACTGAAGAGCAACTTGGGAACCAATGTACGAAACTAGGTGGCGTGGAAGTCCCTGTCAGCAGAGGTCTCACTGCCAGTGAGATGTTGACAGGCGCCAGCGTTAAGGGCCAGGGCAGGAGGTGGCATCTCTATCTGCACGATAGTTCTGATACAGCGGGCGCTCAGGGGAGCAGATGGTGTCCTGGGGGTGTCTTTGGTTCAGGACGAGAGGAAGGAGCTGATAGTGTGGCAGGTATGGGCATGCAAGGTCCTGCGGAAAATGCAAATAACAGATTTGCCAAGACTCCTGTTTCTTTTAGTGAACCTGTTTCATGGGAAGAAGCATCTCGATGCTTAAATTATTATTATTTTTTCAAATTATAGAACACCGTATCACATCTGCAGATTTTCTCAGCCTGGATGGGGTGGGGGAGGGGTGGATTTCCATCCTTGTCCAGGAAGAAGTCAACCTCTGTGGAACGTTTTCGGCCTTAGAGGAAGGAGGAACAAAAGGGTCAGCATGCAGAAGATCCTCCTTTTCTGTCTATTCTGGAGTTTTCTGTTGGAAGATAATCTCGCTTGACCCCATAGTCTTCAGGAAATTTCCAGATGGAAGAAATCCACCACTCTTGCTTTCTGGAGCCTTCCTAAGAGCTACGTTTATTTATTTGTTAATTAATTCATTCAACATCAATTAATTGTCTACGGCATTAAGATGTTGGCACTACAAGGGAGAACAGACCATGGAGTGTGTATAAATTATACTCAGCCAAGTTTACACCCTACTTCATCAAGAAGGGTCATGACATATGAGAACACTTAGTTGTGACTGTTTTTCATTTATTCATGGCATTCTTACGCATGCACATGTGCACATACCACACACACACACAAGCCCAGGGCAATACAAGGATTTGGAAAATTATGGGAACTGAGGAAACAGGGTCAGAGGCATTTGAGCATGACAGTCACATGTGCTGTTTGGCATAAAAGTGGGGAGGCTTTGTCACCAGCCCCACTTGGGGTCAGGTCCCTTGCTACTTGCTAGGTCTGTGAAACATCGGTAAGTGATAAGCTCTCTGAGCCCATTTTCTCATTTATAAAAGGAAGATAAAAATAAAATATGCCTCAGGATGCTTGTGATGGGCATAGACCACGACAACAATGAAGGCTCGTTGTTCAGTGCCTGAAGCACAGCGCCCATCCAGGGAACGGTGGCTTATCACCGCCCTCAGTTTCATGGGCTGCAGAGAGGCTCGAGGAGTGGTTTATAAAGAGCTCACGACCTTTTAGGAATGACGCTCAAATTGACCCTGTTCATCCTATTTGTCCATTGGAATGTCACCTGAGCCCACCAGGCACTCTCTCCAGGTACTAGGGTTGCCCAAAACCACATTCAGAACCTCGTTGGGGATTAAATGCTCCCTAGTGGTCACGTGAGGAAATAATCCAGCCAGATGCTCACTACTGAGTCGAACAAGTGAAATTTGGAATTTTTCAGTGACTAATGACATTTACATGGTGTGGTTTCATGGCTAATTTCTTCTCAGCCTCAAGTTGCTGACGTCATGCAGTGATGTCAGCACTCTTCAGACCACGGAGTTCCAGCATGGGATTTAGACTCCAAGGGATGCTGGTGCCTTCACAGGCCTGATACCTGGCGTTTGCCTCCAAGCGATATGTTTCCTGGCCAAAAGGGTGCCCAGGAGGGCAGGTGTCAGGTCTGGCCACCATCCCAGGGGGGCGTTCTGCCTTCCCTGTGGGAGGTGCTTAATAAATACCTGTGAAGTGGTGGTATGGTTGATGGGAGAGCATGGGTACACAGAAGTGCCCTCACAAAGGTTATTTGAAATGGGAATCATCTCAGGAATGACAGGGTATTTATTTGGGTTACTCTAGTTGGAACTGGATGGGTCAGGCTGGTCTCAAGTGGAAGACATGATTCCCCCAAACCCAAGGACTGATGACCCTCTTTCCCAGCCGAGTCCTGGAAACTGCAAGAAAAGATGTCTAAAGGATCTCTGTCAGTTGTGTGGTGAATGGGAACTAATGTTAGTTGAGCGACTCCATTAATCTGGCTCTTAGTTTGCACTGTGTTGTAGACGATCAATAAATGTTTGTTGTTGAATGATTGTCATGAGCTGCACATTGTCTGAGACGCTTTACTTACTGCTCACTTCATCTTCACCATCTGATGGATGAGATGTCCCCGTCCTCAACCTTACAGGGAAGAAATGGAGCTCAAAGAAGTAACCTGGTATACCTGGTTCTAAAGTGATGCGGTTGAGGTTTGAATGTGGTTTTGCTCAACTGGAAAGTGCATGCCCTGCTTCCTGCAGTGGTTTTCTGCTGTAATTTTGGGCTGGCAGTGCTGAAGTTGCC